TGGGTGTGATAACAGTCTACCTCCTTTTTGAGCCCTGATACTCTTAATTTGGCTGCTTGGCAAACTGTATAGGTAAACACAAATTCCCAGTCACTCCAATTATAAAATTGAAATTATGCTCCTAAGAATTAGAATAATACTTAGTAATACCACATTCGAGAAAACAGCAAATTACTGAAGCATCTATATAGAGAAAAGAGTTTTAATACATACTGAAAATAAGTCACCACATACATATAGGTTTACTTTTTCATCTTAATATTAATAGTGTTGGAACATAATGCATCTAAATCTTCTTTAAGGATCTCTCCAGCATCTCAATGTTCTAACGTTAACCTTTTAATTAGTCACAACAGTTCCTCACATTTCACCGAAAGTACTCTCTTTTTTGTTTGTTTTGTCTGGAAAATTGGGGGTGGGGTATGGATAAATACACTGAGCAGAGCAAAAGACTATATACAAAAGTACATCAGAGGCAATGACAAGGCAAAAGTAAGTCAGCAAATGGAAATAAGTACCCATTTATTTTAATAGGTAAGAATACCCACAGGGAAAGAATATTCCACAGGAAATAATATTCTACTATGTGAGAATTTATGTAATTCAATAGTAATGAATTTTCACATAAGCAATGCTGAGCTTAAGGGAAAAAAAAGTAATAGTATTTTTAGACAATCCCCCCCAAACTATGCTTAGTTAGGCTGCTGAAAGAAATATTAATGGGGTCCACTTGTAGGTTCTGAAAAACAAATGAAGAAGCTAAAGTTCTAGAAGAACTCCATAAAAACGTAATGAAAAAGACTTAAGCCTCATGAAGAAAAAAAGAAAAAACTCTAAGAACCTAGAGTATTTTACTTGATAAAGACTATAGAAGTGATATGACTGGAAGCCAAGTATATGAAGAGATATCAAAGTTGGATCTAAGAAGGTATTTACATCATCTAAAGAAGGAATAGAACTAAAGTAAACTATGGCATATAACATTTGATTTAGGCATTAGATTCTCTATGAATCATAAACACAGGAATATGTTTAAGGAAAGTTGCAAGCACCTGGATTACTTTTTCAGACCCTTAAGAAAATATGCAACAGTCGTTCTGGGTTGGTTCTGATCAAGTTTGTTAGAACTTTATGAATCAGGGGGTACATAATTAAAGTTACTTTGAAAATCTATGTAAATCTTAAGCTCTCACTGGGCCTGATTTAAGAAACAGGATTTATTTTATTCAAAGGGCAGTATGAATCTGGGCACTGGTTAGAACATTTGGGATCCATTCATTTATCACTAAGAGTACTATCATCTATCACAAACTTAAAGAAAAAAAATAGTTTGAGTGGGTCAAGAATTAGTATTCAGTAATTGTAATGAAATTGTTATTATTTCTGAATTCAACGGTGATTTGCAATTTTGTCTAACAACAATCATGTCAAGAGAACTTCTTAGTGACATTATCTTCTTACAAGTCAATGGCTTCTTTCTGACTTAATTTAGAGAGGCAGAAAATATGTGACCACTTCCACCATTCAGTTTTCTATCAATATTATAACTAATAGCTGATCTAACATGAGACTATCAACACAGAAATAGACAAGGGTGATGAGGCAGAGCCAGCTATAAATCCTTAAAAATATTACAAATAATATGCCCTTTATGTAATTGAGTTCTGTATCCCCACATTTTCTCTTGAAATAAAAATGTCTGGTAAATTTGTCTGGCTAAGTTCATTACACTGTTATATGCCCTATGAGTCTCAGTCAAACCATGAAGTTATTTTCACATATTTAAATATACTTTTCATAAAGTATAATTCCAATAGCTATGCAAAGAGAGTTGGTCTATGTTTTTAAATTCTTGCTTGTACAAAAGGAATAGAACTTCTCATTACAGGTTATCTGTAAATTTAAAGTTCACCTTTTTTCCTATTTTTATGGTGTGCCACATACAACAATTTCCCCCTATTTAGGTTTTTATAATATTACAAGGATTTATTTTATTTGTAAAAGCAAAACCACTGTACTATCATCAGTGCAAAGAAATAAAACTTTGATGACAGTTTATTTAGACACAACCATTAATAAATCTATTCATGTCTTAATGCAATCAAAGGTCTCCTTCCACCCAGAGTATGCATTCTATGAAAACAATATTCAAGTCTAAAATTTCCATCACTCTGAATCCCAAAATATAAGTTGAGAAATTTTGATAAACAGTTAAAAATAGTTCATAATTGTTATTTGTATATAATTTCCTTTGATTATTCTAGTACCCATTGTAGTGCAATAGTAACATACTAATAATCTATGTATAAAAAGAAAGCATGTATTGTACTCTTTAAATTGAATGGTAAAAAGTGTTCCAATAGTGAACTTTATGCTGATCTTTTTAAAATTGAGCGTTCTCTCTCCCTTACCTACAGGGATGTATCATCAGGTTTCCAGTCTCCTCTTTAAAAGCTAGTAACTTAATCACAATTAAATATTTATTTCACTTAGTTTTGGGTAACAATGAAATAGTGGGGTTCTTAAGCAAGTACTGAATTGAACAACCATTGAACATGGGTATAGTTAAGCAATAAAAATTGAAGGAAGGAAGGAAGGGAGGGATGGATGAATGGAGGGAGGGAGGGAGGGAGGAAGGAAAGAAGGAAAGAAAAAACGACTTTTAAAAATCTTCAAAACCAAAATGAAATTTTATGACCCTAATGATCATCGTGTATATAACTTTATACCTGCTTTATTAATGGCATACACAAATAAATCAAAATTGTAAATTAATTGCTTAACACTACTAAACAAACACTACATTTTAAAATTCCACTACACTGAGAATATACTTATCCAGAACTCATAGTGACAGAAAAGATAAACAGGCCCCTTGACAACTTTAAAACATTTCCCGAGGTACGCCGCAATGCAAGATTGAAGAGGAAAATATCTGAAAGCTCATCCTTGCTTCAGTGTTGACCTCTAACATGGACTTGCTATTAAACACACTCCTCCTGTCTCCACTGCTGCCTAGCCAAATTATTTGAGTTAGAAGAGCGTGCAAAGATGTGCCTTCAGGAAAACTTTTGTTTTCTAAAAGTTAATCTCTCCAAACACTTCCAGTTGGAAAACGTCCACTTCAGCTACTTGACACCAGGGCGTCACTTTCTCCCCTCGGCTTACCTGCTCCTACTTAATTATTCTTCCAAGTAGACTCTGGGCACGTTGGGGAGGTAGCTCTTTAAGCACTTCTGAATCCATGATGACTATATATGTACACATCTTACACACTCCCACAGGTCTTTCACACCCTTTCTCCCTCCGGGGCCGTTCTCAGCACTCACCCAGGCCACGTCGGGAACGCCTGCCCACCTGGGAGCAAACAGTACTCAAGGAATAATCCTCAAGATCAAGAAACTGACTGGATTTCAACATGTGGTGAGAGAAAATGGGGGTGGGGGTGGGGTTGAAGCATTACAGATAGCAGCTGTCCATTAAGTGGTTTAAATCTGTTGGTTAAAAAGCTGAATAAACAAATACACAGATGGGTCTAGATCCTTGGGGATTCCGGAGTCTGAAGAGCCCCCTGAGCAAGTGTCCAGTTTGGCCTCTCTGGAGTCGTCCCTATGCAAAACTCGCACCGGTTGCGCTCTCAAAAGCCCCAGACTCGCACGTGTCTTTCCCCTCCCGTTCCTCCTAATCGGTGTCACCCCACGCGCCCGGTGCCCTGAGAGACTTACCTACGAGATCTCAGAGGCTGAGGATAGTAGGGCAACTTTTCCTCCCTGCTCTAGACAGGCCCAAACGCCCTCAGCAAGCGAGGGTCCACGACGACGCTCGCGCAGAGGTCGGGGTGTCTGGGCGCGTCCTGGCCTGCGGGGCGGGGAGAGGCGCTCGGGAGACACGCGGGCGACGCGCTGGCGGCGCGCGCGGCCACCCAGTGGGTCCCGCCGTGCAGCCGCCGCATGTGAGCCGCGGCGAGCGCGAAGGGCCGTCGGGACCGGAGCTCTGCTGGGGTCACAGCCAACCCCGCGCTCCCGACTGCCCTCCGCTCGCCCGGGGCCTCCACGGATTTACAGGTAAAAGACAACCGAGAAGCCCTCCCTTTCTCCGCAAGGTGCCCGCGCCCCTCCCACATTCCCTCCCTAAAGAACCGGGAGGTGCGAGTTCACCCTAAACCCACCCACAGAGTGAGGAGACCTTTCTAAAGCACAGTAAAAGTAAGACTAGGTGAGTTCCCGCGTGAAGCGGGTCCTGCTAACTGTGGACAGGGGAAAGAGCGTGATCGGGGGCAGCAGTCAAGATGCACCATTATCCCGAAGCAGCACTAGGGGCCAGGAGTTTCTTCAGTCGAGAAACAGGAGTGTCCCCTCTCCGCCTCTAGTTCCCAGGGAAGTACTTCTTAAATGAACGCTGAAGCGCCCAACTTAGAGACGGACGAGCTGCATGCACTTGCCCAATTGAGTAAATAAAGGTCAGCAGTTGGATCAATAAAGTGTGTGCTTCCAACCGCCAGATGTTTTTACTGTTGTTTCTCCTCTCAGGGGTAAGGGGGGAAGGGAGGAAAAGGAAGAGACAACAAACAATAAAAATAAAAGAGTAAACAAACACACATCTGGTGTTTCGACACACATTCTCCTCCAGCCGCGGTCCCTCTGGACGAGGCAATATTTTGCATATTCAAAACTAAAAATCATACGTGAGCCAACTGCAATCTCCCCTCTGTCGATTCTCCCTTCCCCCATCACAATGCAAAATGAAAAAGAACAACAAGTGGTGATGTTGAGTCCGGAAGGCGACCCCGACGCTGAGCCGAAATTTGACACATGTCACACCCGCCCCGCCGCACCGAGCGCTGCGGCTGGGGTGAAACTTTGCCGCCGCCGCCGCCGCCGCCGCCGCCGCCGGAGGAGCGCGCAGCAGAGTAAAGTCGCAGCCCGGCCCGGCGTGGAGGTGGCTGGGACGGGGTGGGGTGCGGAGGTGCAGCGCGCCAGAGTGAGGACGAAGAAACTTACCGCGACCTGGGACGCCTGGGCAGCGTCCCGGGAGGTGGCACCCGCGGCGCCGAGGCAGAAGCCTCCAAACAACACACCCACGAGCGAGTCCCGGCAGCTGCTGCCGCGAGTGGGGGGCGCGCCCTGGGGCGGGGGGGCGGAGGAAGCCGCAGCCAGCAGACGCGGCCGCCGCATAAATAACCGGGACGGGCGCTCGCGGGCGGGCTGCGGGTGGCGCGGGGCTCGAGCCGGGGCGCAGCGGCCGCCGCGGAGCTGCACGCGCCGGCGTGTCTCGCGCTTTCTCGGAGGCTCGCGCTGTCTCGCGCTGCCTCTCCCCCCACCCGGATCTGTGTGTGTGTCTGTATGTGTGTCTATGTGTGTGAGTGTGCGCTGGCGGGCGCGCGCACCCGGCCGCGCGCGCGTGTTGTTGGCAATGCAAACTGTACACACACTGCGCGCGGAGCCGCCTCTCCTCCGAGGGGCGGGGTGGGGGAAGGGACGCCTCGGAGGATTCTAAAGTACTGCTGGGCCACTTGTTTGTTTTGTTTCACTTTGCGTTGTTATTGTTGGTTGTTGTTGTTGTTCCCAAAAGTGGTTTGGAACCAGCCGGTTAGAATGCCTGTCGCCCCCATCCACCTATCTCCCCCGGTGCCCCAACTTCTTTAAGGGAGGGGGAAACGCGGAGCAGAATATTGTTCGGATTTGCAGTGGAGCCTCCTGGCTGACGTCAGGTCCACCTGCTATGTAAACAACTCGCTGGAGAACTTGTTTGTTCTGCGCCAGATCTTCCCCCACCCCCACCATTCTCCCCACCTCCAGCTCCGCCTCCTCCCGCTCGTCCCAGACGGCGCGTCGAGGAAGGGGGTGGGGAGGGAGGAGAGAACAAAACCGTATGCGGTATTGGCAAAGCCGAGTTGTGTCTGCTGCTTCTTGGCAGTCCCCAAAGTACGTCCTCTCAGCAGACGGAGCTGCTGGCAAATGAAACAGGGGATTCCACGTGAAGTGCAGAAAGCCTCGAAGGGATCCAAAGCCCTCGGTGGCAGGGAGTTAAAAGTGCATGGTAGTCAGAAAGGGAGACCCAAGCGTGCGTTAAAACGCTGATTGGCCTTTCTTTTCACGGTGCGCGCCTCTGCGGCCTGGGCTGGAGGGAGCCCGAGTGTCTTTCTCACTCTTCATTGTTGTCGTGGCTCCTGTCTCACTTGGGCCCAGGAGTTCTTGGGCTTCCTCGTGGTCGCTCAGCCCGGGTCATCGTCGTGGGGCTGGGCTGCGGGCCGGCCGGGGCGGAGCTTGGAAGGAAGGGGCCCGCCGAGCTGGGACGTTTAGGGTTTGAGGCTTTCGAGACGGGCCCTATCGGTGACTGAGGGATGCAAAAGTACCCGGAATGAAAGGAAAGAAGAAACTGCCAGAGTCCGCTCCGCGCGCACTTCAAAGCCAAGGCGCCAGCGCGGGGGAATGCGCGGGCCCAGCCTCCGGCACCCGGGTCCCAGCTCCTGTCGGTGGAGCGTGACACAGCCAGCGGGCCCACGCGGGACCAAGGAGATGACGAGGGAAAGGCCGAGGGAGGACCAGACGGGCCTGGATGGGAGGCGGGGACCCAAGCGGGGGGATTCCTCGGGAGTCCCTTCCCCACGCCCGTTCCCGGCAGGCGGTTCCTCCCGGCAGTCTCCGGCCAGCCGCTCGGCTGCCCGCTGGCTGCGCGACCCTCCACCCGCCGCCTTCACGGCGAGCTGCCGCCTGAGCCCGCCGCTCAGCTGACAATCAGTCGCGGAGCGTGGCGTTCGGAAGGGTGCGGAAACTTTCTTCCAAATAGCTGCAACCAAGAGGCCGTTGCGAACAGAGCCTTGCCCCCGACTTCTTCCCGGCCAACTTTAACATCTCTGGTGGCAGAAGGGGCGGGGGAAGGGTGGTGGTGACCCGGGAGACGGGCGAGCAGCACTAACTTCTGCCTTTGAGTCTTTCTTTTCCTCAAAGAGCAGCGCGCCCTTTCTCTAAAGGGCAGACGCGAGCTCACGCACACACTTGGCACCAACTCTTCCCTTCAGAACCCGCAGTTCTCCCGGGGAGGAAGCAGCCCTGGCACCCACATCTGTAAACACACCGTCAGCTTTTCTAGCGAAACCAATTAAGTCAATAAGCCATGGGGCTGGTCGTGGGAAGACGGCCCCTGCCAGGAGGACGAGGAACGAGGGAGAGTTGAGCTTTGAATTGTGGTGCTTTCTGTGAGCTTTTAAACTCCAGGTAGTCCTTAAGTGCTCTGCTTATGAATTGTGTCTTTTTCGAAAAGCAGGTTGAATAGTGGACAAATAACCCAGATTTTTTCAAGATGGGAGCGGGAAGAGGAGAGAGCTGTCTTTAAAATTAGAAAACGCCAGACCCAAATGGCCCTACCTCGCCCTTCTGAAAGAGTGGGGAAAATTTCATGTTAAGTAATTTGCGTTTATGCTTCACTGACAAGCCTAAATAAAAGGCGGATTCTCCGAATTAACCTGAAACTATTTTGAAAAAGAAAAGAGCAAACGGTGTCGAAATCCTTGGAGAGCCGAGGATGTGCCTTTCCACAAGGTTTGCGAAAAAAGGTAACAGAACAGTCAAAAGGGCTACAGAGTCCCACTTTTCCCCCTTATTCTCCCC